TGCTTAGCCCAGTCTCGTCTTAGTGAATCGTACAAATTCTCTTTAGGCCGATGTGTAGAGGATTGGTGGTTTCCAACATCTAGATGGAGTTCCAGATCAGATAATGTGTCAAACGACTTATCGCACCCTGGCTCATTGCAATCAAATACATGAATCTCTTGATCTTCATTCTTCTTTGCATCTTCCTTTGTGTCCATTGTTCTACTTTTGCAAGGAAAGAATCCATGCTCATCTGACAGGTGCAGTAAAGAAGGGTGAACCAGGCGATTTTTGTACAGAGATTTAGTTTTAACTACTTTACCCTTTCCGATACCGTAAGCCCTCCAGACTCTTAGCTTATTTTTTTCAAAGCGAAAGTCGTGGAATTTGCTGAATCCGTCCATTTTTTGAACGTCGAAAGTATTTTTAGATTCGTCGATCACTCCAACGCTGGCAGTCACTCCTTTTACCGGTCGTTCTTTTAACGCAGTGTGCATGTCAACGGCAGAAAGAATGTTGTGTCCCTCATTGCAGAAAGAATTGATAGTTGACTTCATTGGACAAATAATCCTATCACAAATGTCTTTTCCACATTGCGGCTCAGAGAAATCATACCCTACAATCTGTACACCACTTGACTGAGAAAGATCATTGCACGCTAAAATCAGCATATTGTTGTGATAACAGCCCGCTTCATCCGACCTTAAAAATGCTTTAGTTATCTGCGGGTTTTCCTGTTTCACTGTCTGAAGAAGATTTTCTACAATTGACGCCACTGAAAACCAGTCTTGGTTACTATTGTCAATTAAGTGAACAAAAGACTGCACGCTCAATGTGTCATCATGCTTTGAAATAACGCTGCTAACATGCCACGACAACCCACGTTTCCCAAACCATTCAGATTGTTTCTCTCGATATTTTCTCGGCTGGAACTTCATGGCCCAGTCCATGACCACTAGAACTGTCTTCTCATCGAGTTGCCGAAGGGCGTCCTGCTTCCCATTCTCTTGATTGGTCGAGCGCAATATGTGAGACTTCCAGTCAAAAATATCCTTTGCAGCCTGTTTTAGGTCGTAGAGCATATCTTCCCGCCTTTCTGTCATGCTGGAATGTTGGCACAGGTTTTCGACTTTTTCTTCAATATCTTTGATGACAAATTTTAGATTTTCACATTCTTCACATTTCATTGAATGCTCATGAGGACAAGTTTGTTGTAGTTCCTTATCTTTGGGATCACTGAGAGCATACATCCTGCAGTGGTCTTTGCAAAGACTGCCATTTTCTTCTGTGCAATCAACGGGGTACTTGACTTTAAGGTGCTGTTTACTATCACGCAGGATCTTCGTCGTATCTTCAACCGATCTCTTGTCAGCACCAAATTGACCCAACTCAGAAACGATATTCTCCAATGTTGAAAATCCCATAGCTCCATCAGTCGCTGTATTATCCAACCCACTTAGTGATTTACGCTGCGACGCTTCTCGTACCTCCAAGATCCTAAACATTGTCGATCTACTAATCGGTACAAACTTTTCTTCTTCACAATATTTTTGGTACTGTGCTACTATAGTTGATCTTGAGACCGTGCGGATGATATTAGGCATCTCGATTTTCTCCCCGCTGTTCAATGTCATCGTACGCATACCAAATGCAACATCCTGATAGAAATATGGGCGGTTAATGAAAGAAAGGAAATGGTCAAGTTTACTCTGATCGATACGCACTCTGTGGGAAATAGTCTTTTCCGGAATTGATCCTGGTCCATTCAACTTTGCATGGGCACGTGCTTGCTTGATTTGCCATTTTGAAACTCCTCCGTATGGCTCGTGAAGTTTAATCAGTGTGTTTACTGGATATCGGTATGCATATATACTTAGTATTTGTAGTTTCAGCTTACGCGTTGGAGCATCTGCAAATGCAGTCATTAAGGCAACTAGGTCACCTGAGATGTGTTCCCCGTCTGATTCAATCAGAAGTGAGTCATAAAGACTTGAGCCGTCCGCAGGAGCAATTATATCACACACAACCCTACATGCCTCTTCGGCTTTCTCCAAGCATGCTTGCTTTTCATCGGGTGTTGCTTCGTCCCACATACTGGTTAGTTGAAATTTCAACGGTGTAATTTCTCTAGATGTATGTTCAGCCAGTTTTTCCATTGTTTCATTGAAAGGTTCTAGTGCACCAGTGGCTGAAAGGTCTTCATGTGAATCATCACTGCTCAAGGTAAGTCTAAAAAATGCACCAGGTGTCCATGCACTACTTTCAGAATATGTTGAAACACTAAGTTTTGATATATCGGGAAGATTCCGCGCATCTGGACTGTTTGTTGCTCTGCAAGAAAAACAAAGATAATTTTCAATATGGCAAATGTACAGTGTACCCATATATACCAGCTGAGGTTCAAGCTTGAGAGACATTCACTACAGGATGCTTGTGGTGAACCTTGATGCACGTTTCCGCAGCGCGAAATTGGTTGACCTAAATATTAATTTATCCGACTGCTAAAACGAACCTTTCATATGCCCTTCTTTGATTTCTACCTTCTTCTGCTTTCCATGTTGACTCCCCATGACTTCGTCTGCATGTTGAGCAAATTGCTGTGAACAAAATCAAACTCTCAAAAATAAGAAAGAAAGTCGTATTTTAGTATGAAGGTGCGCAAACGAATAATGACTTACGTGATCCGATTGGAACTGTGCATCCAAACAAGTCAAAAATTTCTGTGGCAACCTTGATATTAATGACGTGAGTGTCCTTCAGTTGTTTTGGTTTTCCTTTGTGACTTGGGTACTGACAAGATTTGGAGGGCCGCCAATACTTTCCTAATTCGTCTCGGTGAGTAGGGCAAATTATAGTGTTTTCGAGGAACTCTTTACTCCATCGAAAAACCCCTGCACGAGCTAGAATAACCTCATACTCTTGTAAAGACTTAGGTAAGTGACAGTTGGCCAAGTGCTTTGAAATATCGCTTGTGCAGTCTTGCAATAATACGTTATCTTTCGCTTTACTTAAACTGGAAAATCCGCATGCTTTTTCGTGAATATTATAGAAACCACAGTTTGAACTTTGACTAGAACTAGCCATTGCTATAAAGGATATTAACGAACTGTCCTCAGTGCTTCCACTTCCTTTTGCAAGCTTGTCTAAAATTTCAGGTAATGTAATTATACTTTCGAAGTTTATGCGTGGACTCGTCTGCGTCAAAACAGAGAGCTTTATATATTGATTAATACTGTCGATTCTTTGCTGTTTAATATATGCAAAAGCGCAAATGGATGTGACCTACTTGGGGCCAAGCATTGCGCCGGGGCTGCATCGATGGTACTTACAGTACAACTTAATTTTAAAACATGTGTTGTGATAAATTGACTCAAATTTGCCTGAATTTTCTTTCTTTTGTCTTCGGTGGCAGAGAAATTTTGAGATTATAAAATTGATCATGAAAGGACATTTGAAGACGTGGTTGTGGAAGCACTGGCGACAACTGACCAATGCCACAGCCAATGCAACTGACAAGTTTGTTTATCAGACAACGCAAATGTCAACATGCTATGAAACGTCGCATTGAATATTTGAATTTGTTGCAAATTAGATGGACATCATGGACTTTGAACAGTTTATACAGCCAGCCTGCATTTGAATACAGTTATGCTGTTATGTACTCTGGAGGATCCTGTTTTTTGTGTGGATTCAAATTTGGAAGATAGATAAAACTACAGTTGTAATAAAACGGCTATAAACGTGGAGATGATGAAGCGAGACTTTCTACAGTGTCACATTACATCTTGACACAATGACACTTGACTTCAACACATTTTGCAGTATTAGCCACTGTTCCGAGCTATTTGATGTGCGATTGTTTTACGATTTGTAGCGGATAATTATGAATGTAAATTGCCGTAACTAGCGTTCGCAGGTATGTAAAATCCCCACATTTCAAATTTGTTTTATTTTGTCCCAGTGATGATAGCCATGGATGTTTTACGGAAACTAGTGCTGTTATTCGTAATTATTAAGCGTGTACAACTCTTGATAAGTAGAGTTGTGCCAGTATGGAGAAAATATATATTTAGAAATGCTCCTTTTTCACCCGGTCGATTAGCCGCGTATTTATAGTCGGCACTATCTCCAAGTTGTTTTAAGACATCCAAAGTTTGAGTTCATAAATGCTGAGCTAGTGTAATAAACTGCAGGCCTGCAGAGTATATCTCGGATTGAATCATTTTTGAGAGCGCGAGAACGTGACAAAGATGACTAATTTTTGTGTGTTGCAGCGATGCTAATTTCGTGCTTCGACGTACACACGTAAAATTGCCCAAATATCGAAATCTTTTGAAATTTGAAACAAACCCCTTTTGTATTGATGATAAGCAAGGGTTTCTTAATCCACACACAAAGTTTAAGGCTGGGTTTATTTTTGAACCAGTATCGAGTGGTCGGAAATTACAGAGACGGACTCTTAAGTTCTTAAAATCAATTTAACAGAGCTCTAAAAGCACGTCCGTCTCGCATGAGGTGGAAACGCTAGTAACAATATCACCAGCAACGGTAAGATGCAGAGGAAGACGTGTAATGGCTTTTGCTTAATCTGAAATTGAAGGCTATAACGAAGGTTGATATCTATGGTTGATCTTCTCAACATGTTATCGCGAGTATAGAATTCAGTACAGGAGATCGAAGTACTTGGTGTAATGTCGCTCGAAAGAAATCATGTGTGGCGAAAGTAGAATATTTCGATTTGTTTGCCATAGTAGCCCTAGCAATGTTTTACTCACGAAATGGAATCGTGTGTTGAGGCTGATAAGACGGTTGTCATGCGTTTATGTGTCAGTGGTGTTGTCATAATTTTTTAACAAGGGGGGGGGAGCTCATCTACAGGCCTTAAGGCATGAACCACAAGAACATTTTTATACTCAGGCCTCCTAAACACGATTTTCTGCATTTCAGGTAATAATTTTATTCATATTAAACATGATGAATATACAATTACATACAGTCAACAGGGATCATCAGTTTGCCATACTAGTAGTATAGGAACTGCCGGTTCTAGACCACTAGTTTTTCGTTCGCGTTTTCGTGAACTTTCTAGACCACCAGTTTTTAACCGAATTAATTTTAGATTTATATACTTAATTTATTCCTCGGGACTTTACAGATTTTTAGTACCCAACAATTACTACGCCACGTCCACCCTCCGCACTGCTCCTCACAAGTGACACACCCAACGATCGTGCTTTTAGACCCATTAGAACTTTCAGGTCCTCCTTAGATTCCCCAGGTAGGATATCCAGGTTGTTTCTTATGTGATTAATTTCTGGTACAATTTTTCTTAGCGGTTGGAGTTTCTTGAACTTCCACCTCTTAGCTGGAATCACAACCTTAGGTGGTGGTCTGGGGATATACTCCTCCACTATTACTGGTACACTGATAGTTTCAGGCTCTACTCTTCCAGTTGCGTGGTGTCCGTAAGCGTAACTTGTAACTCCATCCTCAAGTAGGTATCTTTTATCGTCGAAACAACTAAGAGTGATCTTCTTCAATTCGTAGGTTCCAATTTTATGTTTCACACTTCTGATTGTGTTCATATTGTGTCTCATCCTACATTTCGTATTTATTACATTCTTGAAGTTCTCGTGAGTGAGCTTGTTTCTGATGACATACTTTTTAACTCCTTTGGCAGTCATTCCACCTCCACCGTTTTCCTTTACATAGGAGTACATCTTTGACCTCAACCCGACAAACTCAATTACGGGTACTCCCTCAGCCTCATCCTTAAACTTACCTATGACCTTCTTATTATGAGCTGAGTAGTACGGAGAATCTTTTGGGTAATCTGAATTATCCCAGCAGTTTTTCTCTTCACCTATTCTCTTGAAGTCCTCGTAAACATCATCCGTCTTCAGTTCATACATTAGACTGTCGGTATCAGTGAACAGTAGCCTTGACCTGTCACCGTACTCCTTCTTGATGGTGTTGTAGTGGAAATCATACATTAAAGTCTTGGATAAGTCTAGGATGCTCATTCCTACATAACACGGCTTATTTAGCGTTAGAACTTCTTTCATTCGCTTTACCACTATAAGGTTCTCATTCATAATTCTATGTGACTGGAAGCACGGTGATGATGTCAGTTTTAGGAGGTCATCTTCGGAGGACACTAATTTAACATCAACCCTTTTCCTAAGATTTTCCATAGTCTTTCCGTAGATCGAATTATTCATCAACTTGAAGAAGTTCTTTTCGAACGTGTTACGAGCCGCAGACCTTTTCTTCGTATTGAAGTCCATATAGTTTTTAAGCCAGGGAGACTGTTTGAATGTAACTGCTCTGTGGACCTTTGTGAGTTTCATCCCAAGGTCTGTGTACAGTTTCAGATTACGTATATGTAAGACGTAATTTTTCCTTGGACCAAGTGAAGTTACTAGTTTTCTTACTCCTCCAATTTTCAGTTGGAATTTCTCAGCAATACTTTTTAGATAATCTGACAACATAGAAGCACTGATTTCCTTACTCTCCGGTGCTAGAGGATAACCGTTATGTAGATCGTGAAGTTCTTGTGGATATTCCAGGTCGACCTCTAGAACCATCCCTCTTTCGCTGTCCTCTAGGTAATCATCCAGATTCATACCATCAACTTCCTCAACCCACTCAAACTCTCCGTTAGGTAGTGGTTGTGACATTGCCCAGCCATATAAATTATTAGCATCGAGGTACATTAAGTACTTGTTCTCAGATGACTTATCGTACGTCTCCATGTACTTATTATTAGCTGTGGAGTGTCTGTGAGCAATATAACTTGTACCACCTCTCATACCCTTCTCGAAGAACTGAAACATATCCATATCACTTACAAGCTCTATTTCTTCACCTGACTGTTTTAGAAAAGCGTCCCAACTTAGACTAGGTGCTGACATGTAATGTGCAGGGTCAAGTTCGTAATTTTCCAAGCATGTTCTCCTAAAGTTTTCAAACACATCAGCCAACAGGAGAACGTCAGTCTCCAGGTAGAGATCGTGGTAGTCTCTCATGGTTTTCATCTTGAAGTGATCCCATACTTTCTGAGCTCTCTGGTAATCTTCTTCCTTCACCTCTGACTCGTACAGTGATGAGTAGAACTTATCCTTACTCGGTAGACCTTCGGTATCAAGTTTGCTGATATCATCGAGGAACTCATATGGGAACACTCCTTTTTGTGTCACTAGGTTGAAGTCCTCACCTTTCCACCTCTCACCTACTATCCTAAAGTCCTCAGGTAAAAGGTTACTCACCAGTGCTTCCAATGAAGAAGCCATGAACTGTATAGAGTCTATGAAGACAAGATTTTTACCCAGTGAGAATGAGATGTATTTTTTCATATTATTTGGAATCACGTTGACGTCCATCTTGAACTTACCAATTTCCTGCATAATCAGATGACTATCGTAACCTCTCAGGTTGTGGAAGACAACAGGTACTTTCCATGTAATTCTGTATTTCAGATTACATATATTGTGAGCGGCTCCACGATACAGTCCAGTTACATGATCATGGTCTCTTACTCTATCCTCACCAAGATCGTTACCACATATTGAGCAGTTTCTTGCAGCTTGAAATTCGAATTCCTGTTTGGGTGTAATTACCATCTTTTTCTTGAATATATTGTTGACCATCTCTCTACATCTGAAGGACTCTTTCAATACAGTCTTTAGGAATACCAATGCAGCATCCTCTCCAACGTAACTCTTATACTCACCGGAGTACTTATCATCATAGTGGCAGACAGTCTTCAAACCAAAACTACAAGCCTTGTGTGTCTGGTAAAGGTCTGTACTACTTTTGTCCTCAGGGTTTTCTAACTCCACTTTTCTCTCCTCTGGTACTAGTATGGACTCAAAATCAGCGTATATCACAAACGGCACAGGCATTGAGTTCCTATGATTTTTGAACTTGATTTTTGTCCCTTCCTTGGGAAGCTTTACAGCCTGAGTTCCATTTACCTCCAGACATGTCTCCTTATGCTTCTCCAGTGCCTCTTTACTCACACAACTATGAAGACAGTGTAAGCAGAAGTGTTGTTTATGTTCGTGTTTACTTACGCTGTGCAACATTCTATTAATATCCTTTATGAGAACATAATGATTGTTACCTTCGCTATCACCTAGTAGTAGAAGCTCCATATGCTCGTCATATTTAGCCTTGGAGTTTCTTATGGGGTAGAACTGTTTCTTACCACTGTAACCAAACACGGATATGTTTATACTGTTTTTCCTCTCAATTTTGTTGATGTCACTTATCTTCACAGGGAAGTCAATACCCTTGTAGTCCAGGTTCGGTATGAAATCCCTGTCTTTTTGTGTGATAGTGGTTGCTCTCCTGACTTTTGGTCTCAGATGTCTTACATGACTCCACAGGAAACATAGGTTGTCATTGTTCTTCATATTGATTAGCCCACACTTTGGATTACTAATGTCCACTGGAAGTTTTATATACGAACTTCCCTTCAACGGTTTGTACATTGCAATGTTTACGTAGTGACTCTCAATATTGAGTATAATCCAATTTGAACCTAAGTTTTGGAATGTTTCAATTCTAGACAATATTGTTAGTTGATTTTGAGCAGCAGTACTTTCAATATCCTCGAAGTTAGTTGCAGTGCCAGTTTTAGATTTGAAGTAGACCGAGTCCTTCTTGGTTTTACTGTCGCCAATTTCCTTTGACATTCTCACCTTTATAGTCTCCGTGTACTTTAACCCACCCATTCTCTTCAACTCATTCACAAGTATTCCTCTCACTACCTGTCTACTTGCAGTCATCTGGTCCAGAGGGTCCATATAATGAGGAGTTATCGAGTAAGTCACAGCGGCTCCATTTGCGGCTGTTTCGATTTTCCTGTGGAATGGCTTTTCGAGGTCTGTTCCAAATGGATCTATTTCATGTTCCTCTGGTGTAACCACTATAGGCTGCTCCTTAACTTCCCTCGACACTCTTACAGGCTTACGTAACTTAGGAGGAGACACTAGTTTCCTGGTCCTGGGTTTTGGTACAGGTCTTTCCCTAGGAAGCTTAGTCCTAGGTTTCGGTACAGGTCTTTCCCTGGGAAGTACCGTTCTAGGCTTAGGTACAGGTCTCCATGGAGCTACACCCTTAGGCACCTCAGGAGCTTTCCTCACAGGTCTCTTATTAAGATCCACGTGAATTGTGAACTTACCTGGACCTGTTGGAGTTATGACACTATCTGCAGGTACTGAGAGTTTTACCTTCCTCTGGCTCAGGAATCTTTCTGCTACAGTTTGCCTTTTGGCCTTGACGTCGGACTTTGCCTTTGGTGGTCTACCTCTCTTTTTAGGAATCTTCACTTCAGCATCGAACTTTGCCTTTGGTGGTCTACCTCTCTTTTTAGGAATCTTCACTTCAGCATCAGACTTTACCTTTGGTGGTCTACCTCTAGGACGCTTGATCTTAGGGTTCCTTTCATTTTCAATCCTCTTGATTTCCTCATTTACTTGAGGATCATCCGTGCGCCATCTACCTCCCATCGCTGGTGGTAATCCTTGAACACCCTTAGACAGTAAACTTTGGTATGCCTCCTCAACAAGTAAGGCCTTTGCCTTTTGCCTGTCAGAGTATTTCCATGTAGGCATAATTCCTCTTCTTCCCTTATAGTTTAAGGGAAGACGTCTAGGTTTCTTTGGATCAGTTGAACGGTCTGCTTCGTCTTTCGTCTATGAATTGTCTTTCTCCTTCAAAGGGACTTTTGCCCTTGTCATCAGGTGCAATCCTGTAGTTTTTGTCAGCCATGATGTTCTCCACCCTCGTTTCCATATCATCATCACTATCTATGATACTATTGAGAGCCATAAGTTGTTCTACGCTGAATTCGTTCATATCAAAATAACTCGCCATATTTTTCAACTGTTCCTATATACTATATGTGTAAAAAAAAATTGGAGTATTTAATTAATAATTTACTACCAATTAAATACTCCAATTTATTTATTTCATTAAAATTAATTTTATTATTTTTAATATTTAATTAAATATTAATTAGTAATTATTTTTAATTAAACATTTAATTTTATTATTTTAATTAACCATTTAATTTTATTTTCCAGTTATTATAATATTTACAATTCTCAGGTTTCCATCCAAGCTCAACAAAAACTTTCCCATACAACCTATCCTCAAGGATGTCCACAATTTTTTGAGTCTTGATGTCCTCGGGAGGGTTCCTCAAGGTGATGCCGTTCATGCTGGCTATCCTCAGTAGGTAAAACTTGTATCTAACTATGTTGCGCCCCCTTTGCAGTCTAAGTCTTTGTATACATCTTACTATGCTTCTAAACTGCTCCCTTATATGTCCCTATCCCTAGAAGCAACATGTTCGAATAAGTGTCTCTCAAACCAACGGACTCTATTATGACAAGACTTCTTTTTCAGGTAGTCGTCCTTGTTGTAGTTGTAACTAACGTAGTATGTGAAGTTATTCATATCACTAGCACCACACTGTGTGCATGTATCTGCTCCATCTATCATTACTATAGACTTACTCCCACATTCACTACATATTGGATCATATGTGTGTTCTCTCTTTATTCTGCTCTCTGCGTGCTTCCTCACAGCAGCCTCTAACTCTTCCAGTGTATTTACCCTTTTACCTACATGTGCTATCTCCTCAGGTGTTGCCATCTGTAACCATTCCATTTCCCTATACTATATATGTGAAAATTTTTGTGGCATTTTTTATAGCATTAAATAAGCTGCCCTTCCAACCACCCCACCTGTAATTAAACCAAAGATTGCCATATATTCTTCCATTTCAGAGCTAGGTTTGTAGTGATTACTTAATTGTGGCATTCTTGGCATGGGCTTATGTGTTAACTCATTGATTCTTCTAACGAGTTCCAGCGACTTGTTCGTTGAATTAATATCCTTATTTGCCTCAGCTAGTTCTGACTTCAGTTGGGCAATTCTATTTCTTCTATCAGTGACTTCCTCAAGGTACTTCTCTCTTTCAGCTGTTAGGTTCTCCATTGCAAGGTTATGTCTATGAGCTTCCTTAGCATATCCATTGTTGTCAAACATTTTAAATAGGTATCCTGCTCCTGCAAATGCATTAAAAAGTCCTCCTGCTACTGCTCCCGCCATTATATAGTCTTACCTAGGTTTTGAATGGATCATCTGGTAGATACTTCTTTTCTTTCAAGTAAGAGACCAGTAGAGATGAAAGACTAACTGAGACAGCTAACTTCGCCATTCCTTTTACATTTTCTGGGGTACCTAATGGTTCTTTCAATAGTTTCTTTGATGCCATTGATATACCAACTGCTCCTGCTGTAAGTAACACTGCGTTGTACACTTCCATAGTCATCTTTGATTCTTTACTCATCTTGCTATAATATATGGTATGTTTAATGTATCATTCAAGTGAATCTAACTTGGGCTCATCAGCTTTCCTAGTTACTTCTACAGTTTCAGGGACGTACTTAGGTTCCAGTTCCCTTGTTTCCCTCTGATGTGTTTTATATGCTAGCACAAGAGATATCAATGCAATGGCCACTCCTATGTAGGTAATCATACTGTCATTACTAGATGACTCCCCAGGTTCAGCCAGTTTCTTTTTCCTCTCCTTCGCTATTCTACTGATTGCAACTAATCGTTTTCCTGCCGCTACTCTTCTTGGGTCCTTCTTCTTTTCACTTGTTACTGGTGCTTGATTTTGCTCAGGTTTATCTTCCATTCTACTTGTAAGATACCTTAGGTTTAACTGGGTTTCGTCTTATGAGATATCTTTAATTCTACTTGTTAGATAACTTAAATTTGCTTGTAAGATGTCTCAAATCTACTTGTAAGATAACTTAAATCTACTGGTGAGATAACTTACAAGATAACTTGAATCTACTGGTGAGATGTCTCAAATCTACTTAACAGTATTATATCACTAAACTAGTACTTGTGTGATTTGAACTTTGGTCTGTACAG